ATGCAGGGCCTCATGGCCACGATGATTCAACTTAAACTTCAGCTTTTTCTTTTTTTCTGACTGACTAGGGGGATATGGGGTATATGTGACTTTTGACTGCATGTGGTGCTTGGAAGGTACATTTATGTCATGCCAGGAGCTGATAGGAATTTTTTTAGGACCGTGGGAAAGAAATAGGAAGTTGTAATCAGGGAGAAAAGAGGAAGTGACCATATGAGTAAGCATCCCTGATTTCACCTTCTTCCACCTTGAACTACCACCATGAGGTCCTGTAATTGTTTCTGAGGGCAAAACCCTTTCAAGTACATCCTTTGATTTGAATGAAGAAATCAAAACAAAGAATTTTTGCTATCTGCCTTCCTCCACGGCTGGTGGTAAACCATTCATAAGAAATTTTGAGTCATCTCCTTAACGCATTTTAGATTATAACCAAAATTACAGATCAGTTCACTTTCAGAAAAAGAAGCAGCACTTAAATGCAGGGATAAAGGCCTTCAATGCAAGTATAACTGGCAAGGTGAGATCAACATTGTGTGATACAAACTTCAACTGATTTCTCTGACTTCAAGAAAGAGAAATGTTTATATCGATATTGCTGTAGCAGAATGAATCTCCTGGTCTACTATGTTTGATATGAGGTTTTTTTTTTTTCTGTAAAGTCAAAGAATGAATTTTAGGAACAACAGAGATTAAGAGAAGAATGTACTTATTGAGAGAAATAAAGCTGCCTGAGATAGAGAGAGATGGAGTCCTGAGCAGGTTGCCAAACATTGTCCTTTCTAGGGAACTTTATACAGTAAAATCATGTGGTGAAATGAGTTTAGGGTTGGTAAACTAGGAACTCACAATGCAAATGGGCATAAGATGAGAAAGAGCTATGGTACCCAATAGGATTATTAAGTTCAGGTAAAGCTGATTAAATTGGGAACAAAGGGGGAAGGGAGTCACATAGAAAGCAGGCATTCTTAGGCAGTTGTGACTCTTCCCTTAGGAGTTTGGGAGGGTGACTTCTGAGTTCCTCAGGATGATAGGAACTATTTAGAATGTCAGTCTTTAGGATAAGGATACATTTCTTTGAATGGTGACTCCTGACTTCCTCAGAGTGCTAGGGAACTATTTAGAATATCTATCCTTAGGCTATGGATGAATTTGCTTATCATTGTCTTGAGCCTTGGCCAATAGCATGAGGTGTCAGTCTTCTCCATAGTTGCAAGGTATCTGGTCTCTTGCATGGGCTCCTTGGAGGACCTAGCCCTGGCTCATGCCAAGAGTATTTAAGTAACTCAGGTGCCTGTAACAGTACTGTTTGGAAAATTGATTAGAGATGTCTTGTGCTCTGGGTGAATGATCTGGGGATGACAATGTGCAAAGTATATACCACTGTTGCCCCCTGATTGACATGTTTTGAAATTCAATTTTAGTTGATGTGCGCTTTTTTCCTTGAAATAAAATGGATTTGAAAATTAAAAGCCTGAGGTAAAGCTCTTCAGTACAAACACTGTTCTGTCAAGCTGGGTTCACCACTGTAGAAGAATGACAGCTCCAGAAGTCTCTGCACTACAGTCTATCATTTGGGATCCTCACTTGCAGGAAGGGGTTCCTTTCCCTGGTTATTCTTGACTCAGAAGGAAGGCAGTATAGCAGGAGTCAAGCAGTGATGAAGGGGCAGGCTATATGAACTGTCCAATCAGGTGGGCCATTGCTGGCTGTGACTTCTGTCTCTTCTGGTGTCTCAGCATGATTTATCTGTTCTGAGTAAAATAGTGGTAGCAAAACACGTGCTGGATCTCATTCAGTACATTCAATATCCTGTGGCCTGATTAGCAAAGAACCTGAGAGATCCTGGAACCATGGAATAGTGAGGTTGTGGATGGGAGCCCAGAAATAGGGTGGATTGGGTGAAACCAGTTACAAGTATTTAGGAGTAGTTCCGGTGTCTGGAGCCCCAGGTATTTAGTTAGCTTCAGCTCCTGAGGTCCTCCAGCATTGCCCATGGGTCATTCTCTGTCTCTTTTGCCTCTTGCTGTTGGCAAGGATGATTTGGGTGTCCTCAGAACCCTGGCTTCACTATGACAGCAGCAGACTCAAGTATCATCTTTGAAATTCATTCCTAGCCTGGTAACTCCAGCATCTTAGGCATTGGAAGGAACTTGGGAAGACCCTGAATATGATGATTTGTAGCGTGTAGAGCAGTAATGAGCTAGGTCTCTGCTCTTTTTCCTCAGAGTAGCAGATCTGGAATGTCTGGAGTTTATTAATGTATGTAATGCAGGGCCTCGTAGCCACAATGGCTCAACTTAAACTTGGCTTTTTTGTATTTATAGTGATCTCCTTAAATTACAATATGTTCTCATATTTCCATCCTCAGGACAGGTAGTGGCAAAGGTCCTGAGAATTCAGGGATTTGTAGTAGTGTGCCTCAGTGGAGAAAGGCTTCCCAAACACCTGGTGAACTCCTGTGTATTATACAGATCAGTGCAAAACAATTTCTGAACATACTTAATAATTTAGGTGGCACTCCCGCTCACAGTCTAGGTTTGTAGAGTTTTGAAGTCTGAGAAAAATGAAGCAAATATGAAAGTGTTATCTAGGACAGGGTAAATATTTGTGAAGGACAAATTCCAGAAAGTTCTACCTGTTAAATTCTCATCGAAAAATGCCAAAATTTAGGCATTTGCATGGACATATACATGTGATATCCTTCTGAATGGAAAGAGGTGTCATCTCTGAATTAAGAGCTGATTTAGTAGCTTGGTTGTTCATAGAGTGTTTAAATATGGAAATTCTCTACAATGGACCTATCTAAGTGGTGTAAAGGAGAAGCCCTAAATAGAAATTTTGTTAGGCATGAAGGATTTTCTGCTTAGGATGGATCAGAGGAGTATGGAAAGGATGTGGAAGTGACTGAGAGGATGCAGGAAGCAAATAGCAGGACATACAACAGAGAGGGTCTTCACTGAAAGTCAGGTAGTTCTTAGAGTAAGTGTGAAGTAAAGTTGGGTTCTGATTGCTTCATTGAGGTGATCAACACCAGCTCTGGCAACAATCAGTATTCCACATCCCTGTCAACCCATTATTTTTGTGTTCTGTACTTGAGATCTAATTTTGATTATCTCTAATTATGCCCAGTGTCATGAAAGTGAAATTTGAATTTTTTTTGTACCAAGGATCAAACTCATGACCTATGCTTTCCTGGCAGGCATTCATGCTACAGAATTAAATACCCAACTATGAAAGTGTTTTCTGTGTAGTGTGGAAGATATCCATATTGTTTCTCAGAAAGTGTTGAGTATTGTTGAATTTTTCTGTATTGTACGCCTATAATGTTTTAAAACAAACCAAAGATGTTTTATGCAGTCTCTTTTTAAGTTTCACTTTGTTTGTTCGGTATCTCAGTCAGGGATTGTCTACTTTAGATGGCTCTGTAACTTAGGATAGCCCCAAATTCAAGGAAGAACTCCTTCACCAGCCTCCCAGGATATATTTCTTATATTTGAATTGAAAGTGATCACTTGGTGACAGTGAGGTATAATTTACAGCTTGGGCCTGGTTTATTTTTATATACGTATTTTTAAAAATACAGCTGTTTTCCACTATAACACTTGTTATTATTATTTATGTACCATATTTGATGTTATTTATGTTTTGTTCTATGAAACCAAATTAATGTTTCAAAATGCTGCTTAAGTATATTAAGAACAAAGTACTCATTGGCCTAAATGAGATTTGAAGAGACATCCTCTGTAGTCTATCAAAGTGATTGATGAGATTTTTTATTTAATTTTAAAATTGGTAAAATACAACAGAGCAAGGCAGCATAAGGCCAACTAAGATCACACAGTGAAATTGGTACACAACTTCACAACAGGTTACTGGGATAACAGTAATAGGTATCACAGTATATTTTTTATCTTTGTAATAGTTTTTCTTTAATCACATATATTAAAATGAGATGAAATACAGAACATTATAGAACTTATCAAAACAGAATATTGAATAGAGCAGTACCATTAATCAGAATAGACTGAAACAATAATAAAAACATTTTCCTTAAAAGTAATAGTAGAAGGAAGTCCCCTTATTTGCTATGGTCAAATTGCCAAGAGATGCTCAGATTTCCAGTTCCCATTTGCTAATATGGGGTGACAGGAGAAGAGGGGTAGGGAAGTGGGATGTTTGATTCTAGGTGGTGCATCAGTATGTCACTATTGCTTACTAGGGAGACAGGCTCTTGTTTGGTTTCACAGCATCCTAAGTTTCAACATAGCATGGATCTCAGGAGCTGCTGCTGGTTATCCCCCTGGAAGGGCTGCAGTCTGACAGACTGCCACCACTTACCAGGGAGAAGTGGTGCTTGACTGGCTTCCCAGTGTCCTAAATTCCAGGTTGGCATGGATCTCAGGAGCTGCTGCTGGTTTTCCCCCTGGAAGGGCTGAAATTTGCCAAACCACCACTGCTGACCGGGGAGGGGAGGTGCTTGCTTGACTTTCCAGTCAATTGATGGGATATTTATCTGCCTCTGTGCTTTGTGGTTGCTGGTCCTGCAGGCTTCTCACTGTGAGCTCTGCTTTAGAGACAGTGCAAGGGGAATCTTGCCAAGATTCAGCACAAGAATCAGTGCTCCTATTTGGCTGTTACATTAGCAGTGAGTTGCAATCTAGCATCAAATTTGCTGTCTTCAAAAATGTGTATATACACAAAATTAATGACCAAGACATGTATTAAAATTGGAAGAAATCAGTCTTCATTCAGCTGTTTTGTTTGGTTGTATTTGTTTAGTTTAGTTTTGTTTTATTGAGACAAGCTTTCTGTATGTATATCAGGTGGATTTGAACACCCTATGGAGCCTAGACTTGCCCTGACCACACTGATGCCATCCTGTCTCAGCCTTTTGAGTGCTGGGATTATAGATATGCACCACCACACTTTGCTTTTGATTCAGATTTCTAGGAGAAAATTTAAGATATCCCAAATCTGGGGTCTCAACCTTCCATTGAGAAATATATGTATGATCCTTTAGGAGGTGGTGACCTTTGAGGATGTGGTCGTGAACTTCAGCAATGAGGAGTGGACTTTGCTGAGTCCATCCCAAAAGAAGCTCTACAGAGATGTGATGGGCGAAACCTTTAGGAACATGACTCTGATAGGTAAGGATAAAATCTTTTTGCCCCTCATGCTGTCAGAATATTGTTTCTTGCTCATTAGTGCTGTTTCATGAAAAAGAATATGAAAATATTTTTTAAAATATCTCAGACACATTATATCATAACTCTAAACAAAACCTATTAATTTGTATGTATTACTCTAAAGAGTCCTGGTATTTCTGTGTCTACAATGCAGGAGGACTCTGGGATATCCAGGAAGCTGAAAAAGAAGGCAAAATTTACTGGAGCTACTTAAGGTAATTCGCACTCACAAGGAGAGGAATGTTCCTCAGTAATTAGTGAGTAGCAGAAAAATGACAACCAAAGAAAGAGACACCATTCAATTTAATGTCAGTAATATTCTCTGAAGATGTATAAGCTAGTGTATATATGAGCGAATTAAATCATGAAAATGTATGACATTGCATATAGATGAATACAAAAAGGATACACTTTGAGTTGCCTTCAGTTTTTCTACCCATGTCTACAGGTGAATATAACACATTCATTATCTAACAATTGCTAAGATTGCAATAGAATTTGAAATAAAACTGAGTGCTCATGTTTCCAAGACATTCTCTAGAGAATCAGCCATTCTGATTAATATTCTTAGTAAGCTGGTGGAATGTTAGTGCACTCATTTTGAATATCAGTATACAGTTGTCTCTAGAAATTGATCCCCTCACACTTGTCCTGGATATTTTTAAAATCTCAAATCTGCATAAAATACTGATACATGCTTACTCATATACAAAGCAGATTAAGTTATAACAGATCAGGCCTTGAAGCTTATCTATCTATCACTGGATTTGTGGAGAAGGAATATGTTAATAGATTCTCTGTGATTGTGCATTTCTGTAAACCCAGCACACTAGGAATCAGATTTTGCAGAATGGCAAATTCAAGTTCAAACTTCACAGCTTAATGATCAGCGAAAATATCTTAAAATAGATTTTTAAAAAGCTACAGATTTTATGCTAATACCTGTTGTTCATTCCCAGCCCAGAAAAGAAAATATGTGTTATATAATGTCAAAAAATAAATAATATAATGTCATTTGCCATAAGAAATAGATGGGTCTTTCACCCATCAATTCAGTGAAATAGCTCAGTTATAAAACATAAAAGGTCACAGGGTTTCTTTTAGATGAGACACCAAAATATAAATTGTGGAATGTAATGAAAGAAAGTTGATAGAGAAAAGTAAGACTGACAATATGGAAAAGGGAACTACAGGTTAAGGACAGAAGGGAGATTGGAATGGGGAAACATATCAGAATAATCTGTATGTGATACACATATGTGCCCATGCCCAAAGTGAAGCTAAAGATTCTGCATTTCAAAGTACCAAATTTTAAGATTTCTAAATGTATGCCAGTCTTTTGGGAATGGTTGTTTTCAACATATCTTACAAGGCCATTCTGTTGCTTCATGGTCAGAATTTCTTAGCAGGCATTAAAAACAGAACTTGACATTAATGCAGTCATTAAACAGAGACCCATTTCACTGTGAATTTTTCTTTTTTAAATTTATATAAGGAAAGATTAAACAAAACAAAATAAGTAGAGATAATGCTAATTTCAAAGTGAAAATAAACAGTAAGAAATCGCAAGATGATGATTACATATGGTGCTCATGGAAATAGATATGAAATACAAAAGTGAAACATATGAAGTGGGGATTCAAACAGCGAGACTGCAGAAACTTAGTAATATGGTTATAAATCTTATATGTGATTTTTTTCTTTACAGAAATGACAAGCTAGGGAAATCCTATGGACATACATCTGGAGATGTATGGAATCAGTGTAAAGAAGTCTTCCTTGGTACTGAAGAAGGTAATGTGAATGTGAAAGAAACAGAAACACATGACAATGTTCAGATCCATGAAAAATATTGCAGTGGAGGGAAACCCTATGTATGCAAGCAATGCGGGAAAGGTTTTACCACACTTGGAATTTGTAAGAAACATGAAAGAATTCACAGAGGAGAAAGACCCTACATATGTAATCAATGTGGGAAAGCTTTTACAACACGTACATATTGTCAAGTACATGAAAGACTTCACTCTGGAGAAAAACGTTATGAATGTGAGCACTGTGAGAAAGCTTTCAGCACACACACTTATTGTGTAATCCATGAAAAACTTCACACTGGGCAGAAATCGCATATATGTAAGAAATGTAGGAAAGCTTTTAGCAGTAAAATTCATTTTCAAATACATGAAAATGTTCACAATGCAGAGAAACCCTATGTGTGTAAGCAATGTGGAAAAGGTTTCACCCAACTTGGACGTTGTAAGGAACATGAAAGAATTCACACGGGAGAGAAACCATATGTATGTAAGCAATGTGGGAAACCTTTTACCACACATGGATATTGTAAGAAACATGAAAGAATTCACACTGGAGAGAAACCATATGTTTGTAAGCAATGTGGGAAAGCTTTTAACACATGGGGAGACTGTAAGAGACATGAAAGAATTCACACTGGAGAGAAACCATATGTATGTAAGCAATGTGGGAAAGCTTTTAACAGACGGGGAGTTTGTAAGAGACATGAAAGAATTCACACTGGAGAGAAACCATATGTTTGTAAGCAATGTGGGAAAGCTTTTAACACATGGGGAGACTGTAAGAAACATGAAAGAATTCACAGTGGAGAGAAACCATATGCATGTAAGCAATGTGGGAAAGCTTTAAAAACACAGGGAGATTGTAAGCAGCATGAAAGAATTCACACTGGAGAGAAACCATATGTATGTAAGCAATGTGGCAAAGCTTTTAACACACGTGCAAACTGTAAGGGTCATGAAAGAATTCACACTGGAGAGAAACCATATGTTTGTAAGGAATGTGGGAAAGCTTTTAACAGACGGGGAGTTTGTAAGAGACATGAAAGAATTCACACTGGAGAGAAACCATATGTTTGTAAGGAATGTGGGAAAGCTTTTAACAGACGGGGAGTTTGTAAGAGACATGAAAGAATTCACACTGGAGAGAAACCATATGTATGTAAGCAATGTGGAAAAGCTTTTAGCACACGGGGAGATTGTAAGATACATGAAATCATTCACACTGGAGAGAAACCATATGTATGTAAGCAATGTGGGAAAGCTTTTAACAGACGGGGAGTTTGTAAGAGACATGAAAGAATTCACACTGGAGAGAAACCATATGTTTGTAAGCAATGTGGCAAAGCTTTTAAAACACGTGCAAACTGTAAGGGTCATGAAAGAATTCACACTGGAGAGAAACCCTATGTATGTCAGCAATGTGGAAAAGGATTCACTAGTTCTGGACATTGTAAGCAACATGAACGCATTCACACTGGAGAGAAACCATATGTATGTAAGCAATGTGGGAAAGCTTTTACCAAACATGGATATTGTAAGAAACATGAAAGAATTCACACTGGAGAGAAACCATATGTATGTAAGCAATGTGGGAAAGCTTTTAGCACATGGGGAAATTGTAAGAAACATGAAAGAATTCACACTGGAGAGAAACCCTATGTATGTAAGCAATGTGGGAAAGCTTTTAGCACATGGGGAGGTTGTAAGAAACATGAAAGAATTCACACTGGAGACAAACTCTTACGCATGTAAATAATGTGGGAAAGCTTTTAAAATGCAGTGTAACATAAGAGACTAGACTAATATCACTCTGAACAGTGAATAATAGTATCCTGAGAAGGAGAAAGGTGAGGAATTGCCTAAAAATAGAAGGCAGAGGACATTGTTAAAAGTGTATCAGGATTTAAAATCTACAGTAGTCTTGTTGCTCTATTTAGTTTGGTTATATTTTGTTCTTGTCTGTCTACTCATATTAGATTTGAGGGCACACAGAGATAACCCAAAAATAGCAGGTTATACCATGGTAACTATCCTTAATTTCCTATTAACTAAAACTGAAACCCTATATTACTTACATTATCTTCTATGACTGATCTTCTTTGAAGCTGGTTTGTTTGAATGTTATTTGGCCTTGACTGATTTTATTCACTGTGGGTATGCTTGCTAGTATCAAGTTCAAGAGAAGAGGCAACTTCTCAGAAGATGACAAGATGTAAAAGATATCCATTAGTGGGCTGGGGATTTAACTCAGTGGCTTAAGCACCTGCCTGGCATGTGTGAGGTCATGAGCTGGATCTCCAGTGAACAGTCAATCAATCAATCAATAAATAAATAAATAAATAAAAGATATCCATTCCAGGTTTGATTATTTTTTAATTAAAGAGAACAAAGATAGGAAATGAAAAACAAAGCAGTAAAAGGGTACAAGTAATACAGAATTTCAAGAAAAAATTCAGTAAGAAATCACTAGTTAATAGGTTACATCTTGTCACCTTAGAAACAGTTGTCCAAATTATAAAATTAAAGCATATAAAGTGGACATTCATACAGTGAGATTGCAGAAAGTTCTGTTCAATGATCCAACAAAAGCTCAGTAATATGGTTTTCCATCCTACACACTCAAGCATGCAGTTATATCCCTTACACCACCTTCCTTTCCTGTTTATTACAATAACAATTACACTTTTTGAGTTTTTTTACTCCCACAGTTCTTATTACATTTTTTTGAAGAGAATAAATCCTAACATGACTAAATACAACAGAGTCAGTTAGAACAGAAGGGTGGGCATAGGACATGATGCAAAAATAGAGTATCAGATGATCAAAAATAGTTACCATTGTTCCTCTTGCTATTTTTAAAGAGAGTTGCCTATAATAGAATGGATCAAAACAGTACAGAACAAGACCAATAAAACCTACACTGGAGACCTTACAATATCTCAAAAGAAGATAATAGTGAAACTATAATGGTATCATAGTAAATCTTATTGCCTTCAAAGTGGTTGCCTATACCCTCAAACTTGATACTATCAAACACATAGAATATAGTAAAATCAGACAGAACAAGATGGGGAGAGCAATACTGGGGTTCAAATCAGGTTAATAGGAAAACAAATAGTTACTATAATATATGCCAATATTTTTAAATTTAGTTTTCCCTTAATTGAAATAAAAATAGTTTAATTTTTAAAAAAGGATGGAGATTGAGATAAAATAGGACATTGTAATAGAACAACACTTGTCAGAATGGAACAATTTAAGCATCATTGTATTTCACTCCCAGATAATCTAACATAATAGTAGTCACCATAGTGCCTCATTCCTTGAATTATTTGAGTATAACTTTGTATACTATAGCATCAAGCATATCAAGACAGTGTGAAGCCATTCAAGAGAATGAAAGAATTACAGGGTATTTAGAAACAGTTAACAGAAAACAAACAATGGTTTCTATATTATCTCCTTGCCTATAAAAATTTTTCTTTATACTATCACATATAGTAAAATATAGTAAGATACAACATGTTAAAACCAGTGGAAACAGATGGTTTGTGAGAGAGGGACCATTCTTACACCAGTGAGATTGAGCCCAGTATTGATCATGTTGGTTAATTTTGAATATGCTGGTGAGTTAACGTGGCAAACATAAAGCTGAACACATTTCTGTATGTTTGGTAGGAATATTAGCCAACAGAGTGTTTTCATTTATATTATTCTTAACACATTATTATCTGGCTTCATTCTCAGAATTATTTTGTCACATAAAAGAAGTTGGTGGTGGTTTTTCCTTCAACTTGATTGAAGAATTGAAAAACAATCAGTATTCTTTATTATATACTGGATAAAATTCACCAGTGCACGTACTGTATCCCAGCTTTGTTGTTGTTATTAAGCAGCTGTGATGTTTACCCATTGCCTGTGCTCCTTATTGCTCTGTTCATCAGACTATTTCCTTCTGATGCATGTGGTTTGGGGACATCAATGGACACCAGATATCCATTAAGGGTCACATCTCATTTTACTTACGGATGCTACCATTTATTTTGTATCTTCAAACTATCTCTATAATATATAATTGTGTGAGTAACTCCTTTCAGTTACTCACATTTAATACACATTCTTGCAGGATGTGGTTACGGCTGGAGGAAACTGGGCCTGGTGAGTGCCTGGTCTCTTATTTAAGGATTCATACCCTGACCTGCCTGCAGTGTCCCCATCTCCTGACCTGCTCCCTGTAAACATCTGTCCTGCTCCATAGCTATGGTGAGTCCACATGTGGCAGTTCAGATCTTCATCTGGGTGGAAAACATTCAGTCAGGTTGGGCTCTGTAACAGACTGACCTTCTCATACAGAGCTGCCCTGAGTGAGAGAGGGGGCCTCAGGCATGTAGGGAGAAGCTCTGGAAACATTCCAGCACTCTGCTGTCCAGAATGCAGTGTGTGATGCTTTCCTGAGAACTTACTCAAGGATGAGGTGGCCTTGACCTGGGCCTTTTTTATCCATGGTTCCTGCTAGGTGCCATTGTGTCCTGCACCTCTGCCTGGACCATCTCTCTGACTTTAGATCTCCACATGGATCTGAGCAGACACAGTCTTCCTCTACCAGGCTCTAACTCTATGCTGAGGCTTCAAGTGTAAAATCTGTGACCCTCAAGTTCATCTTATATAAATTTAACCTGGAAATTTCACTTCTAGGGGTCATTATAAAAATGACATTGACAGACACCATATTCTCTTCTTAATCAGTTAAGGTGTGGACTGTTAGAAACCATGAACTTACCACAGCACAGATGCTGAGTTAATTATAAATCACAGCCACTGAAAATGCTGAAAGAAGGCCATGTCCTAGGATATGTCCCTGATCTTTCCTGAGATGGAAGAGAGCTTGTGTTCTGGCTCTCTCTCCACCCAGCAGTGAAGAGACACAGGCCTGCACAGCAGGTGAGGACAGGAGAGAGGAGCTGGTCAATGGCAGACCTGTCATCTTGGGAGGGATGCCTTTGGGGTTTTTCCATTTTATTTTCCACTGCATTATTTATAGTGCTCCATTCAGTATTACTTCTGTTCAATTCACTTAAGAATAAATAGTTGGTATTTTCTTGAATAGGTAAGTGGAAATGGATGACTTAGTATTCTTTTATATGTAATGTAGGATATGCATATAGAAGAACATTCAAGCTTCACTTTATAGTTACATAAAATAAGGAGTCTTTTTATTCAGAAAGGCAACACATCATTCATGACTAACTTTTAAACCCCAAGATATGAAGCCATGCGAATCCCGCTGTGGTGTGTGTCCTGCCCTCCCTACCTGAGAAGTCACTGTGTTCATCTGTGTCTCGTAGAGGACACCCAGAATCTTCTTCAGAGTCTCTTTTTCCGGCAAGGAGGACTTGAATCTTCCTGTGCTCAGGCCAAGCAGGGAGTGTGCAGCATGCAGAGGAGCCCTGCACCTCCTGCCTTACACACATTTCCACCACCGCATCCATGCTGCAGCCCTGCAGGCCCAATAAGGCAGAGCTACCAGGGTGCAGCAAAGACTCTGCCACCTCAGCCCCAGGGGCCTCAACTCCTGGGTCCTGGCCTCAGCCTCCATCAGGCTCCACGCTCTGCCATGGATTGGACATTCTTAGTGGGCCAGACACACCATCAGTGCCTTGGTGCAAAGTCCATTTTCCACAGTGAGCCTTCCATTCTGCAAATTTTGATCCATTCCTTTCTAAATGAGGCTGAGGCATTGGAGACAAAACCCCACAAATTGACATTACTTTTTGTTTTGTTTTTTTTTTTCTTTTCCTTCTTCTCTTTCTTCTTCTTCTTCTTCTTCTTCTTCTTCTTCTTCTTCTTCTTCTTCTTCTTCTTCTTCTTCTTCTTTTCTTCTTCTTCTTCTTCTTCTTCTTCTTCTTCTTCTTCTTCTTCTTCTTCTTCTTCTTCTTCTTCTTCTTCTTTTTCTTCTTCTTCTTCCTCGTCCTCTTCCTCTTCCTCTTGCTCTTGCTCTTTGTCTTCATCTTTTTTCTTCTTCCAGGTTTCTTTGATGCTTTAAATAAGTATTTAGAGGTGCATTTTGCCAAAAAACTTTCCTTGTCTTTTCACACCCCAGTTAACTGAAATTTTTAAAGATTTCTGCTGTAGTTCACACCCTATGTGTTTGAACACTCAGAATCCATTCTGCAGCTTAGTAGAATGAGGGAAGCAAAGCAGAAAGTGAACTTGGGGATGTGACTGTGCCTTCTAAGACTCCAACTCATATCTTTTTACCTCAAAAATATGTGCTTCTGTAGCAGCTGAGTCTGGCACAGACAAAATGAGTTTCCTGCATGTATATCAGACAATCTCATTTCCTCACAAGCACATTGTATCAGGTTTCTTATGGCCAAACTTGAAGAATTATTTCCAGTACATGAGAGGCTGCCACTGGTCCTGAAATCATGATGGAACTTTTTGTAAACACGTAGTCTGATCTACACCTTGGGACAGAAGCTAAAAGAGGCAGAGATGGCTGGCACAGATAGAAGCACCTCAAAATTGTCAACCAACAGCAGCAGCAAGCAGGAACCAAGTTGCTGAGCTTTCACAATTGGGTGATGGAATCATGTGGTGGATTGTGCCCTGGGTTTACTGAGGCAACTCAGTACATCTAAGTTGCTGCTTCCATCCCCTTTCCTTCAGTGCAATACAAACAGAAAGTCATGCACATACATCATTTATTTGCAATTTTTCTGTTCCAGGAACAAAACCTGTATTCATGAGAGTCCACATCTCTGCCAAAGCAGACCCACCCACGGGCATTACCACAATGTCTTGTAAAGGATCACTTTATTTATACAAAACACAGAGCAATGCTCCCAGCCTTGATTTTTCCAGACTGGTGCATTTTCAGTCATTTCTTGAAGGGAAGCTAAACGATTTAGTTTGAGTAAACCAAGTGTGTTGCTGTGCTTCTGTGTGACATCCTTGCTGCCAGACCTGATGAAGGCAATGAGTGGGATCCGCTGGAGCTTTAGCTCCAGAGGGACATACTTAGCACAGCTGTGACAGGCAGTGCTGCCCCTCACCTGACTGGCCACCCAGGTTTTCAAATGCCCTTTCCCAGTGCTGTTACTGGCTTCGGGAGTCACTGGATTGCAGTGGAGATGCCCAGTGCACTGGTTGGCCCAGGGAAAACCTTGTTTTGGCATGAGTTGGTCATCGTTAGCCCTGCAGATCTGTTGCCCTGGGGCCAGGGCAAGGTTCCCCCAGCTGCAGTGAACAGCATCATCCAGACAACTCTCCTGTGCACACTCTACGCAGAGGCTAGGGAGGGTCCCAGTTCCTTCCTGCTTCAAAGAGTACTGTGAATCAAACTCTTGAAAATTTGTGCAGCATTCTGTGTGGGAGAAAACTCTATTCTTAGTCCCAGGGAAGGCTGTTTAGAGCTCTGATGGGAGCTGCAAGATAGGGCTGTGCTCTGCCCCTCATGTCCTTCCCATTGTTGTTCAGCACCTGCCTTAAAATATGTCACTGGATGGGGAAACAGCACATTTCAAAGATGTGTGCCTGCATGAATCAGGCTTAGGAGTCTCAGTGTTTTGTGTGCTTGTTGGCCATGTCTGGTAATTTACTTTGAGTTAGAAAAATTTGTCATTTCCCTCACAAAATGGACTCATGAGACCTCTTTAATACTTGTAATAAAAACCATCTATCTGACTAAGGTTGTAAAGAAAGGTTTCCTGTTGTGATTTTTGCATTATTGTTGTTTTTCAAATCCAATGAATCAGCCCTTTGTAGCTCCCTTTGTATCACTGAAATCATGGAAAACATTTTCCAACATGAAAAGATGAGTACATACACAATGGTCTCTACATTTTCCCTGCAGATTTTGTCTATCTGTGGTTTTCTCTTCTATCAAACAGCAATAGCATCCTGTCTCCTCCAGGATTGTTTGGCCAAACAGAATCTGATGCACTGATATGGAAAACCCAGGGTAGTAAATCACAGTGAGAGAAAGGTCAGCGGTGGGTGGGGACTAGCAGGAGAGACCAGGGGTATGGCTGGGTCTAACAGTGAGCAGAAACCTGGAACTAGACAGATGTGAAGATTGTACCAGTTGACAATGTGCTTACATGTGACTCAATTGAACATGTGGAAACTAATGAAATCTTAACTTAAAATAAAATTATCTTAGAATTTAATGTTTCAAAGAACTATAGATTTAAGAGTAGAAATGAAAACTGAGAGAAATAGAAGAGGTAAAGGGAAGGGAAAGTGAAGGGCGGGTGCTTTGCAGGACTTGAGCCCTAAGTGGAGCTCAGGACACCTGCCATGGAGCCAGTGACAGACCTGCCTTGGAATTCCACCAGACCAGGTTTCTGACCTTGATTTTCAGGTTGATCCCAGAGCTGGTGAGGTCTTTGCAGGTGAGGCTGGCACAAGATTTGTAAGTAGACCTTGAGCTCAGTCCAGTACCAGCCCTGCCTTAGAAGAATCCCCAACTGTCCTTGCTCCTTGCAAGCCCCAAAGCCTCCCAGGGCCTGTCAGGGTCAGCTTTGTGTACAAATGCACCCTAGGAAAACTTCCCATTCTCCCTGACCCCACTCAATTCTGCATGCCTCTGTGTTGCTGGAGGTCCCAAGTCTGTCTTTCTCCCTGTAAAGTGCCCCATGTCCTCCTCAGAAACCAAGAGACCCAGGCAAATTCCTTCTCACTGTAGTTCTCATTTTCAGTGAGCTAGGCTTGCGCCAACTCAGATTAGGTTGGCTGGCTGTCCCACCTTCCTCGGCAGCACCTGCCAGGTGCCAAGAAGGGAAACTCTGATCCCGAGGAGGACAGGTGTAAGCAGCACTACAGGTCTGGCCTCCTTCCCCAACGGCCTTCCCAGGGTATCCTGTGTGCTAAACATAATCAGCCCTCACTTGCTCACAAAGTTCCCTGGACAGTGCTGTGACCACCTGTCCTCCACTCTGCAGGAAGCCTGAAATGCAACTCCCTTTTCCACCCTTGTGGCATATTGCCTCTGTGAGAAAGAGAGTGGAGTCTGCAGTGTTACTCTTATCATGGGTGCTCAACAGGGTGCTGCTCTATAACTATCTGAAAACTGAGTGGATAGTGGGAGTGCTTCCTGCCTGCCTTCCCTCCACCTTCAGTTCATATACTGATGCATCACCCCATTCTGTGTACCTTTGTGAGTCTCCCATTCCCCTATTTTATGTCCATGTGTACAGAGGCCAAGAATTAGGGACTCTCACCATAATGTGGGTAGTACCTGGTCAGCTCTGCAGGGTGAATTTGTGGCCTTCATAACATGGAAGCACAAGAGACCAGTGTTTGCTTCTGCTCTGGTCATTGCATCATGGTCAATGCCTGGTACATTGATGATTTAAGGCCCTCACCAGCTCCCTCCATGATGTCGGTGTGGAACTGGGTCATCTGGCTTCCCCCAGAGATTCTTGCTCTGGATACCATGGAAACACATGGAATGACTGTCCAGTGTCCTTCAGAGTGAAGACAACAGCACCACCCAAGTGGTGGATCCTTGGCAAGAGGCAAAGCTTTCCCACAGGAAAGGAAAAACCACAATAAAGCCAGGATCCCTGGTCTGAGCAGACCTAGTTTTAGACCCAACTCCTCCTTTCCACTTCCCTTGTCAACTTAGACAAGACACAATGCCTCTCAGTTCCTTTCCAGTGTGTCCCCCTGAACTATGGCATCTGCTTCCTAGGGACATCATCTGAAGTGAGAGGTGACACTTTTAAACCTTATGGGCTGGTGTCATGTATACACAGTATACAGAATTAGAGGTGAATTCCATGAAGGGGTTGAAGGGAGGTGAACACAGTGCACACAGGCCTGGTTCCTGCTGTATGGTGGTGGAAATTACACTCTCCTCCTATGCATGTTTCCCTGGTGGCATAATGAGGGGGCAGAAGTTCTTCAGATCAGCCATCATTATGTCCCCTAAGCATCTCAATTTCTTCTATGTATTGGTGTTGTGGCCTTAAGTCAGGACTTCACACAGGCTAAGCAAGCACTATGGATGTAGATGCACCCTCAAATCTACCAGCACTATGCCTACATTCACACCTGTGTGAGTCACCACACCCATGGCAAGGGTGCTCAACTGCTGACAGCTCACCTTCTGATGGCCACCTCCTGAGTAGCTCATTCCTTGAGTGTGGGTCACACATAGTGAATTTTGTACTCGTTTGCATTAGCCAGGCTGAAATTGAGCCCAGGTCCTCAGGCATGTTAGGCAAGTGCTCTATCTTGAGCTCTCTCCCCAATTCCTTACTTGTTCTTAATAACACAACATGGCAGATGTAATGGGATGTGACTCTCAAGGTTCACACATAAAATGACTGTGACCAACCTCCTGCTCTCTCTCTCTCTCCTCTGTTCTTCCTTCCTCTCTGTTTCATTCTGTCTTCCTCTCTAAATCTCTGATTATCTCTGCATTTTCCCTGAGGAGAAGCTGACTCTTTGCAGAGAAAAGGTTAACAGACTGAGAAGTCATCAGACCTCCATCCTAACTGAGTTCCTGCCTCTTAGCAAGAGAGAGAGCCTGAGAACAGATTCTGCCACAGCAGTGTTTCCACTGAGCCTGCAACCTGGTCAGGAGAAACTATGGTGGATCCCCCAGCAGCACCTCCTGAATGCCTGACCCATAGAACCTGAGAGAACTGACGTTTACCTGTCGTACCTAAGTTTGCGGCAATGCAATCATCAGTGGTCACTGATGCACTATAACAGATGTGAGGTTCTGCCCCCACCACTGTCCCTCACCAGGCCTTCTGTTCTCGCTTCTCATCTCTTTCTTGACTAAAAAAGTTGACTTTGAATCTCTAAATGGTTGGTCCTCTATCTTTTGCCACACAGACTCAACTCTGTACAGCATTAGGGCCTGCATGTCTCAGGTTCAGGCATCAGTTCCATCTCAGTTAGGCTGTTCAGATGCCCCCATGTAGTGACCTTGACCTCTGTGTGCCCTTGCTTTATTGGGATATAGCTCTGGGTCTTCTCTTCCACTACAATCTGCAGTGCTTTATCCCTCTCCTTCAGCCTTCCAGCTTCTGGGTGGCCAGTGACATATTGTCCTGTTCTGTGTTGGTGCCAGCCTAGCTCAGCCAGGAATAATGTGAGAATTTGAGGCATGTAGATTGAATGAACCAGATCCCTTTTCCTCTGAGCTACCCAGTGGGCGACCATGGCATCACTGTGTGTTCGTGTGTGTGTGTGTTGTGTGTGTGTGTGTGTGTGTGTGTGTGTGTGTGTGTGTGTGTGTGTGTATGTGTGCATGTGTGTGTATCCCTTGGGATGCTGCTTGAAATCAGTCCCATACGTTTAGGCTCAGGTCCCAGGAGCTTGAGGGCTGCTTTTCTGATGCATTTGGGAGTGGGATGGGTCCTGTGTTAGGAGGTTTTTCTCTTTTGGACTTCTCCCCCATCCTCTTCACTCTGCCCATGTCCTGTGCCTTGGGCCTGGCATTGTCCCTCTCTGGGCACTGGTTCTGAAATGTCCATTGGGAATGGAATAACACACATAGTCCTTTACTGTGGAGATTCTATCATGCTTGGGGGTGAGGCACTAGAGGGTCACATGGGGTTCTCTTCACCTGCCCACTGTCCCCATCCACACCTGCCTGTAATTTGATATCATCCCTACAAAGACCATCATCCTAGGGTTACCTCACATTGCCATTGTCACATGCAGTCCATTGGATAGAGCAAGGCCTGGACTTCGAACTCACCACTCACTGTCACTGATGCCTTGCCCCAAGCCTATGACACATTATAGGCCTACTTGGTTCAAAGACCATGGGAAAACTTTCTATCGTCCATCGAATTCAGGGACTACACCTTAGGTCATACTGGGGCACCCACGTGCTCAGCTATTTCTTTGTGAGAATCCTAGTGGCTGCTGAATGAGTGACCTAACCTCTCCTGCTGCCCAGCCCCCAGTGGCAGCACAGTGCAGCCAGGACTTGGGGGAATAACTTCAGCCTGGAGCATTTATAGCTTGGAGGATCCAATCAGCTGGCCTCTGTGAAGGCTGCAGGGGTTTACACCATGACACAGCAGATCTGTGATTTAAGGCCACACCCCAGCCCTGAGGAGTCATGGAGAACTCTTGGGTCACCACCATCTACCCCAGCCTGGCCATGAGCCTGGTGGATTCGAGTTCTGGTCTGGTTTTTTCTACCTGGGACTTGATTCCTCTGCTGTTTCCCAGTGCTCATTTCTCCAGCTTGTTTGCCTCCTTGACCATTATGTTTCTTTTCTTATGAACACAGCCCATTTTTAATTGGGCTGTGTTCATGTGTCTTGTTCATTGACTGAACTACTGGTTAAGAACTAAAACTTACAGGTGGTGACATGCTGAGCCAGATTTTATGTAAATTTACTCTGTCCAGAGAAGGGGACATAGGCAGCCATATTCATGACACTGCATGGAGATAAACCACAGGGGAATTCAATGGACATGCTGCCTGTGACACTGCATTTTCTATACAGGGTTATAGACTTGCCTTGGAACACACAGTGCCTCACATTTTAATGGTTGTATTACAACTACAAAACTTTACTTTTGTGATTTTTTTCAAGTTAAGCACTCATAAATTAAAATTAATAATTTATCATTGGAAATATCTAAAGAATATACATGGGTGTGACACTCCCATGGTGCTGCTCTGTAACAAAAGAAAGTGTGTTAGCCTCTTTCATATGAAATG